TGTCAGCAAAATAAAGGACGGCACCAATTTATGTTAAATGTAAAATAAGATTTAAAACTTTATTGACTTGTTTGAGGACGAGTTTTACGACGAACACGGAATAATATAATTATTAAAACGAATTTGACAAAGTTATTGGTGATGGTGCTGCTGACGGCGATTGTTGTTGGTGTTGTTTCCAATTAGTTCGCTTATGCACTCGCTGCTTGCTGACAAAATGAAAAGTGTTTCTTTGCTCATGCAAAGGCGGGTATTTATCCGAAGTCCTTTTGCATATTCCGCCTTTTCCCATTCTTCGTTAAAGCAATTAAACATTACACGGTTGCACTGATGTACTAGTGTTGTGCAACGACATCCCACTCCCCGGTGAATCCTGTGGGGGATTCACTAACTCGTAAAGCGGCTAGCTTAGTGGCTGGTCGACGAATTAACCCGGAACTTGTGCGGACTTCCGCACTTCTCACTTGACCATCTTTGGCGACAAACACCTCCGTGATCATACCTCGCTCCCACTGGCTTCTGGGTCGCGCAGAGTCGCATATGATAACCAATTGACCTGGTTGTAGTGGCGTTGCTTGAGTTCTCCATTTGGAACGTAGAAGAAGTTGCGGTAAGTATTCGACTGTCCATCTCTTCCACAGACGATCTTTCAAGTTCTGTGCTATGCGCCATTGCTTGCGGAGGCATACCTTTTCGTCAACTGGACTAGGCGTTTGGGTTGAATTAAGGCATCCCAACAAAAAATGGTTAGGCGTCAGTGGCTCCTCATCTTGCGGCGATACGGCTAACTCGGTCAGGGGGCGGCTATTAATTATATTTTCCGCTTCTATCAAGACGCTACGAAAGGTTTCTAGCCGTGGTGATTCTTGTTGCAATACCCGCTGCAATAGCCGTTTGACGCACTGCACGAGGCGCTCCCAGCAACCTCCTGCGGACGGGTTTGCAGGGCAATTGAATACCCACTCGATGTTGCGACGTGCCATCTCACCCTCTATGCGACCAAAATCGAACATACGCTCTTCTGCTTTAAGCTCCTTCTGGGCGCCAACGAAATTCGTCCCATTGTCGCTTCGAATTCTTATTGGTACTCCTCGGCGGTTGACGAAATTACGGAGGCACAAAATAAATGCGTCTGTAGAAAGGTCTTCTGCAATTTCCAAATGTGCGGCTCTTGTCGTGAGGCACGTAAACAAACTAACCCATCGCTTCTCTTTTCTTCGGCCAATTGTGACATAAAACGGGCCACAATAGTCGACTCCGGCGTAAGAAAACGGGCGAACGTGCGGCGTAAGTCGGTCGGTCGGCAGTTGACCCATGAGTGGTATAGCTGGCTTGGCGCTGTTATAGATACATACATTACAATTTCTCTTCACCGATTTGAGCAAGGCACGCGCTCGAGGCACCCAAAATTTTTGTCTCATCTCGTTTATGGTTAGGCTCTCGTTCTGGTGATGAAGCCGGCAATGGTATTGCTTCACAATCAGCCGTGTGACATAATGTGTTTGAGGCAGAATAACCGGGCGTCTAGCTGCGATTGGCAGGCAGTAGGCGGCGTCAATTCTCCCGTTCACTTTCAGCAAACCATCGTCATCTATAAACGGCGTTAGTTGATACAAAAAACTCGACTTCGGTAGGCACTTCTTCTGCTTGATGGCATGGATTTCATCGGAAAACGACTCAAATTGAACTTGACGAAGTATTTTCATTTCGGCTTTGGCGAGCTCTGCGGAGTTTAGTTCTCCACTTCTGCGAACTTCAGACTTAGCGTTGTTAAAAAAGCGCAGTACCCAGGCAACGACTCTGGTAACCTTCAAAAATTTTGAAAAATTAGTAAACTTTATAGGATACTCCCCTGGACTTGACAGCATTATGATTCGCTTGGTGGCTTCTTCTAAGTCACGATGATCAGACGTCAGCTCTGGTATCTCTTGCGGCCAGCACGTTGCATCCTCATAAAGGAACCCTGGTCCTGTAAACCATCTCGACTTTATGTTGCACTCAAATGACGTATAGGCTCGCGTTGCTTCGTCTGCGACGTTTAATGACGTGGGAATCCAGCGCCATTGATCTGACGATGTAGTGCTTAGTATTTCGGCCACACGATATGCGACGAACTGCTTGTAGTCTCGATGTGTTGAACGAATCCAAAGTATGACGGTTTTGGAATCGCTCCAAAATGTAGTGCTGCTCACACGAAAATCATGGCATCGTTCTAATGACTCCTTCAGACGGCAACCCAGAACTGCAGCTTGTAGCTCCAGACGTGGTATAGTCATACCCTTAAGTGGCGAACACCTTGACTTTGCGCACACCATAGCGACGTCGATCTTGTCTCCTTTCTTTATTCGAAGATACGCCACAGCGGCATAGGCCAGAGAGCTGGCATCGACAAAAATATGCAGCTGTATCTCCTCTGCTACCGGTAACATTAAAGAGTAACATCTTGGCACCGAAAGATGCTTAACTGACTGGATGTTGCTCCACCACTTTGACCACTGCTGCGCTAATTCATATGGCATCGCTTCATCCCACTGGACCCGTTGCTTCCACATTGCTTGCACCAGTAATTTTATGCATATCGTAACGTTTGCCAAGAGACCAAACGGATCGTACATGGACATGGCTATGCCCAACAATTCGCGCTTGGTTGGAGGTCGTGTACCATCAATAACATCGTGAGTAATTTTGTGGAATTTAAACTGAAATTCAAGACCATCGTTAGCAGTGTTCCAAAACATACCAAGAACTTTTTCCATTGTTGCTTGACGCTCCATTCTTATGATTTGCTTGTTGGCAGATGAACCTTCACCATTCAGCTTCTGTTGAACTAGTTTGTCGTTGGATATAAAATCGCGGAGCTTGAAAGATGCAGCGGCGTTGATTTTGACAGCTTCGTTGATGACCTCAATAGCTTCTTCGGCACTATTAAAACTCATGACCAAATCGTCGACATATGTATTTTCAATGACAGCTCGTGCACCCCTTGGCATCGTAGACATGAATTTGATGGCGTTGGTATTTTTAACGTGCTCCGCACAGCACGGCGAACAAATAGCTCCAAAAATCATTGACGACATTTTATAAATACGTATAGGCTCGGACGTGTTGCCATCTCGCCACAGAAATCGTTGTGACTCTTGATCGGCCTCCAGAATTTGTACTCGCGAGAACATCTCCTGGATGTCACCGGCCACAGCGACGACACCCTGACGAAACTTGTGTATGATAGCTATCAGTGGCTGAGCTTGCTCCGGACCCTTCAGCAACACAGAATTAAGCGAAATACCATTTGTAGCGGCGGCTGCGTCAAAAACGATGCGGAGTTTTTGCGGCTTGTGTGGATTCACAACACCAAAGTGCGGGAGGTACCAAGTTCTTGGTCCTTCCACGGAGGCTTCATCAGGCGTCAATGGCTTCGCATATCCTTTGTCGAGGTACTTCGCGACTTCCCTCTTGTAGTTTTCCGCGAAAACTGCATCTCTCTGCATTCGCGACTCGATGTTAAGTAGGCGGTGCTTGGCCATTGCATAGCTTGGCGGCAGAATGACCGAGTCCTCCCGCCATAACAGGCCAACTTCATACCCCTGACCGAGGTCCCTTGTTGTTTCCGCCAATATTTTTCTGGCGCGTTGGTTTTCGTCCGACTCCAAGACGACTTGACTGTTGACACCAAAATTTTCTGTAGCAAAATAATCCTCCTCTAGCTTATTTAATTGCTTCAATGCGTCTGACTTGCGAACATGAAGAACTCGAGGAACGGCAACGCTTTCTTGGCGGTGAGGTCCATATACGACCCAACCCAACCTAGTGTTGATGGCGACTGGTTGGTCATATCGGGCTGCGACTGTTTTGATGGGCACACTTAAGTGACAATTATCCAAACCCAGCAGTAAAACTGGTTTGACATCGACGTAGTTACGCACAGGCAATTCTTTTAAGTGCACGTATTTAAACTTATCGAGCGATTGCCTCGGCAGATTAAGGCTTTTTATCGTATGCACATCTTTCAGAGAATAGTTGTTACCATTCACCCCTCTCACATCACATGACACTGGCCTTGAGTTCTCTGTTGTTTGGCTGTCACCGTACCATTGCAGGGTAAGTGGCTTAACACGTCCTCTCAACCCAAGCCGTGTTGCGACCTCTTCCTCCAGTAGAGACACAGATGACCCCTCGTCAAACATAGCATACACGTTCACACTACCATGCGGGCCAGACAATATCACCGGCAAAATTTTAAATAGGCTGACTTCACTTTCTTGGCGACAGTTGAGGATGCGTTCCCGGTCGGCGGTTGGCTGTGACGACGGCTGATTGTCTTGATGCAGCAACTGATGATGCATACGCTTGCAACCATTGATGGCGCATGCTTTACGACGACGGCAATCAGATAACCCATGACCTGCTTGTAGACAACCGAAACAAAGGCGGTGTTGTTTGACAAGCAACCACTTGGCTGGGCAATCATTTGATTTAAATTTACGGCAATCAGTTAAGACGTGCGACTGATTACAACACAAACATACAGGCTGCTCACAACTGCTGTGTAAGACTCGACGTGCCGGAACTCCACTTGACGCAAACTGACGACTGCTACCGGATTGCTGACGCGACGATGGCAACGACGCTTGGCTGTAACGCAGAGAAATTTCAGCTACCCCAGGCATGATTGACACGACCTTGGCCAAGTCGCTCAACCAATCTGCAAATTTGTCTACTGTAGGAAACGGCTTAATGTTGGCAGCATGCTTGCTCCACTCATATTGTTTCGACGGCGGCAGCTTCGAGATCAATTGCTCTAGAAGTGTAGGGTTCATAAGATGGTGCTCACATTGCGCCGATTTGAAAAACGCGGCTATGTTGCGAACTCGATTGGAAAACTCCAGAACCTGATCTAGGCGGTTGTCGTGAATTGTAGGAAACTGTTGAACTTTTTGTAGTTGCGCACGTATTAACAAATCGTGCCGACCAAAATTGAATTCGAGTTCCTTCATTACTTTGGGCACATCGTCAGGATATATGAGCATGGACATGACTGCTCGTTTGGCATTGCCCTGCAGCGCTTTCTGCAATCGCATGAGATTTTGCCTGTTATTATAGCCGAACTCTGCTGTAGTGTCCACATAATTTGCCGAAAATAATGGCCAATCTTCCGGACTGCCATCGAAAGTTGGCAAAGGGTATAGCTTGGCGGCTGAACCCTCGACAAACTGCAATGCATTTGTTGGCAACGGCAATGGCGGCTGTACTACAGGCAATTGTTGTACTGCTTGAGGGAACTGTTGAACTGGCGGCTGTACTTCGCACGTTGGCGCGGTGGCATTGGCTGAATCCATTTCCATTCGCAGTCGGAGCTGCTGAACTTCTGCTTGGCTACGGCTGGTTTCGTTACGCAACTCTTCAACACTTGCACGTAGTGACGCAATGCTAGCAACCAAGGTGGCCAACGCATCGCCTCCGACGTTGGCTTGTGGTTGCGCCATAGCGTCTTGGGCTCCAATGTTGACTGCGGTGGCATCTGCGTCCGAATCGGAGTTGCTAGCATCACCATCAGCGGCAGCTGGAGTTTCGTTTGTCTGGCTTCTTGTGAGCATTTTCGATTGGTATAATGCAGAAGATTCGGGAAGTTAGGTTAGCGCACCTAACACCCTTTGCAAAAACGTACGTGCAGTTGTACGTCCAACTGTTGCTCGCAAAGTTCGCTTAAACAGTAACGCAAGTATTTTAAAAAATGTTCAAATGAGTCTGCGGCCTCGTAGATTATTCGCGAAAAACCTATGACCAACAAGATCAACACGCTGTGCCCAAAAAACGTACGTGCGGCTGTACGTCCAACTGTATATTTTTTACAAAATCCGCTTAAACTGTATCGGATGACAAATTTCTTGAAGCGGTACTCTTCCAGCAAAACGGCACCTCCAATGCAACGGTCAGCAACTCGTCCAAATTACACACAAAACACACACGATGGCAGCGAGCATAAGCGTAATTGGAAAACTTTTGTCAGCAAAATAAAGGACGGCACCAATTTATGTTAAATGTAAAATA